TGATTCGTACCATCATTTTGGAGTTGAGTTTTACCGTGCATATGCTACTTATAAGGAAATGGTTAAACTGTCCTTTGCAGCTATTGATGGTGACATGAATTAAGATGATGATTGTGATTGAGATAGATTTCTATATAGTTTATAATACATGATATGCTCAGATTCATATACCTCGAGCCAAGCAACCAGATTACGTTCCTCTAGATCTAGATTCATCAGAATAATTACTTACTCAGTAAAATTCTCCTAGTCTCAGTTGTGTGTTTAGGATCTTGATTAGGTTTCTAGTAACTAGTCAATGATGTTTCTCATGTCACTGAGACATAGTCATGGTTAATACAACAAGTACAAATGATGAGTCGTGCCTGTACATGACGTTGTGATATAGTCATGATCGTCTGAACAATATCAACTCATGAATGAATCATGTCTCTACATGACACTACTCGAGTCGCATGTCTGACTACTATGCGACACGCTTAGGTATCAATCTAACAACCCACACCAAAACCGAAACTACTCACAACCCTGATGATGACCCCATGAATAATTGTAAAAGTAGCCTGCAACATAGCACAATTAGACTAGATATCGTTGACCAGGACCTAATCCGAACAGTGAGACTTAGCCCTTCGCTCTATACACCCAACTAGGTAAAGGACGCCAGAGCTTACTACTCTAGTTGCCTGAGGCGCCCATATTCCCAAACATAAGAAATGAGACCTATTTAACTAATCTACGTGTCTGTGAGGGAGAGCCCAACACAAAACTACTCATGGTGGTACAATAAAACTAAGTATACAGTGGTAAGATATGTCTGCACAGTGACGCATAGTATATCCCAGGAACGCCAATTGGGCCTTCTTCTAAAACAAATGATTTGAACGTATAGCACACAAGAGTGCTATAGTGACGTGTCAACTATTGTGTCCTTTGGGGGGAATCTGGGGTAAAAAGCCGAAAAAATTTTGTCACTTCAAGCCAATTGACAAGCATTATGGCGCCTTTGTGAGTTTCGAGAAGGAATTTGGTTATGTTTGGATCGGTTATGAGTGCCTTTGAGGCTCTTATTGTTGGCAGGCTGCATTCTAAGAAGTGTATTGTGGACTTGGGCTCGCCACAGCTACAGTGCGTATTTGCATTGGTATGAGAAAGCCGTGAATGGTAAGAGGCGAAGTCTCCATGCCCTGATCTTGCGGCGTATATATGAGCAACGAGATGCCTTGGGAGTGATAGCTCTCCAGGACAGTGATCAGAAACTCCGATGTTCAAGTCTTTGTAGGAACGCGGGGCAGAGATTTCCCAATATTTTTTGTAGGCTTCCATTTTTGAATACTTAACCCATTTTTTGCAGCTGAAAGAGTGAGATGGGAGGGCAAAGAAGGAGGGAGTATTGTCATGGCTTCTTTCGCCGCTTCATCTGCATGGCTATTTTCTGTGATATTCCTATGACCAGGAATCCAGTGAACTTGAACCTTACCAGGAGTGGTATTGGGGAGGCGAGGATGACGCAGCCATCTAGATGCGGTATTGGCAAATTTGATGAATACTTCTTGAGAAGAGCAAACTGGGACCGTTCCGAGTTATCGAGTAGCGTCGATATTATCGAGAAGAACCCAGAGATTGTTGGCGAAACGGGCATACGAAAGTTGAAGTGCCATAGTAACGGCTTGCAAGGCCGCGTTGACTTCCGCGTCAAATACAGTGAGTGATGAGCGGGGAGGTATACACTTACGAGATACAATACGACCCGCTTAATAGATGATCACGCCACCGCCAACTCGGGCGCCAGAATCGGTCTCACGAAACCCTCCGTCCAAATATGCTACTAGATCTTGGAAGGGGATTCCAGCAGGAAGTCGATTTGAGAAGTTAGTTACTCTTCTGATACTTGTATGCCAGTTTTCTTTTGCTGACCAGGGAGGTTGGACAAGAGGATCTATATTTTCTGTCTTGGGGAAGTTAAGCACCCAGCCTGAGAAGCGGGAGACCCGGATTTCCCGCGTTTGTACCCAAGTTACGCGACGGTTAAGAGGATGCCTTGTGTCTAAGGGGTGAGTGCGCAAGGCGGCCATTCGTGATCTTGAGTCTAACTCGACTTCTAGAGGGAGCAGCCCTACCTCAAGATAGAGGGCTGAGATCGGAGTGGTACGATATACAGGCAGAATTGCTCTGGTACTGGTTGAAATGACTTTCTGGAGAAGATAGAGGTGCCCTTCAATACGATTCGAAATGGTCCTAGTTGAAGCCAATATCCTGGTGCGTCCGGGCCACCACGTTTCAGCTCCATAGTATGCAATTGGCAGTACGCATGATATTACAGCTCGCCGGAGGAGACTTGGGGTGACGCCTCGGGTAGTGTTCCCCAGATTTCGTAATGCATTAGCAACTTTCAAAGCTTTACCAGCTAGAGTATGTACATGCCATTTAAAAGTGAGATTTTTATCAAAGTACACTCCGAGCCACCTTGTATAGGGACGAGATGCATTTTCAGAGATGGAAAATCCCTCACAATTGATAGACGGTGTGGAGTTTGGATCCTTGTCTGCACGTCTCCGGGAGAAGTGTTGAAGTTCTGTCTTTCCTGGATCAAAGGTTATGCCTTCTCCTCGGCCCCAGGCCAATGCCTCTTGCAACGAGGCTGTCAAACGGCTGCAATTTTCTTGGAGTGAGTCACACGTCTCGATTAATGCAATATCATCTGCATAGCCGAACCTCTGAGATATTTTCCCCATTTTAAATATAGGTGAGATGTAAAGCATAAAAAGGATTGGGAAGGCGGGCGACCCTTGGAGAAGTCCACAGTTGACCTGCCGGAGTGGGCCAGTTTCCCCATCTAGACGAATTTGAACCGAGCGACCAGTGGCAAACGAGCTTACCGACTTAACAAGAGACTCAGGCCAACCTTGCTCGCGCAAACATCGCGCTAGTCTACCTGGCAGAACAGCGTCGAATGCGCCCTTAACGTCAAGTGTAAGCAAAGTAGCTGTGCGCCCTTCGTTTAGGGCTCTTTTAACATCGTGTGTAAGGCAGGTGGTGAGATTTACTGCGGATCTTCCTGGGAGAGCTCCAAATTGCTGACTGGCTAATACCTTTTTCCGGACAGAAATCCAGGCAATACATTTGGCCAGGAGCCGTTCTAATCCTTTCCCTAGTACTGATAGAAGCGCGATTGGGTGGTATGATTGCGGGGAAGAGAAGTCCGATTTGTTAGGTTTGGGTATCATGATCAGTATGGCTTGGCGAAAGCAACGAGGGTGGTATCCTAGTGAAAGACAGCTGTTGAAAAGAGAGTAGACGTGGTCTGCAATAAGGGGCCATGCGTGTCGGAGGACTTCGGAAGTTATCTCATCGCTGCCAGGGGCTGTATTGCTACACCTAAGTATTGAAGCTTGAATTTCTTCCATTGATAATGGGGGGAGCTCAATTGCGCGTGTCGGGATCGCTGGAGTGTCCATAGGAATATCCCCTGCCTCAGCAAGGTTGACAATAAGCTTTTCGATGAGGACCTCTCTTTTCTCCGCTAGTGTTGTCACTGGAAGATTTTGAGGAAGCCTAGGGTCTTTAAGAGGAGTTGAGCGATAATTAACTGTGGACTTTTGCCATTTAGATATGGCAAAGATATCCTTGCCTGTACAAGCTTTTTCGATCTTTCCTGTGTAGAATGTGTTTTTTGCTATCTTGATAGTTTTACGATAAGTTTTCCTCGCTTCCTTGAGCTCTTCAACGGTTAGAGGGGTCTTTATTGCTGATTTGAAGATCTGGCGGGCGCATTTGCAAGATTTGTTCTACCAGGGGTTAACTTTACCGTGCCCTAAAGAGCGACGAGCCGCTGAAGCATATGTCATCCGGATGGCCTCTACTAAGTCCTTAGCAAAACTATCCAAGGAATTTTCGGTAATAGGAGACGGAAGTGTGCAGAGTCTACCTAAGGAGATGGAAAGTAAGCGACGAAATAGTGCAGGGTCTAGTGTATCGACTCTAAGTCTCTCTAGTGGTTCCACATATTCCAACCAATCGATCTCAGTGAGGAGCAGTGCGTGGTCTAACGTTGTGTCTAGATGCGTGCTGACAGTGCTTTTTGCGCTTTTAGCTAAAGGGCCGTACCAGAAGGCTAGGTTGAGTACATTTCCACAGTTATGCGTTGCCACATCTAATGGAGAGAGTAGAGCAAATTTGTTTTTATCTGCCCATTCCAAGAAGGTTTCAGCACCCGCTGAGGGACTGCTTGGCCAGGAAGGCTGCCACCTTATATGATGAAGATTAAGGTCCCCTATCATAATGGAGCTGCAATTGGTTGGAATGGAGAGTGTGAGAAGAGGGTGTAAAGCGCTTCCACCGGTAGAGCCTGGAGGTGCGTTATAAATATTGATGATCTGCAAGGCATTCCCTGAGGGTGATTTCAGACGGAGAGTGAGTATGTCGCCGGAGAGATTTATATATTTGGTCTACACGTAGTCCAACCCCTTTGCGCATGTATGAGATCACTATAGGCCTAGTTGTTGACCAGTCATCAATCGGAGAGAAAGTCTGATATGATGGATGGTACTTTGTAATCCGTCGGGCGCGATCACGAAAAATGTAAGGTTCCTGAATCAAGATAATATCTGCTAGTATAGTAAAAGCTTCGTTGAGGGCGATCTCATGTGAAAGAGCACCTCTGCCGACGTTCAAAGAAAAGACCGTTAATGGCTTGGACGAAGCCTTGTGAGACTTGTAGCCGTCCATTATGCTTCCATTTTGTCATTGCTCTGATCCTCTTCGACGTAAAGGACATCTGTCAGAAGCAGTATGTAGACAGCAAGAAGGAGACATGGATCTCAGAGGTGGTATTCAGGCTAAAGGGTGCCATCCTACATTATGCATGAGATAGGTGCATAACTGCTCGACCAAAAGTCCAGACCAGAATCATAGGACACTAGATTCTGGTGATCTCCACATATATAGATTATACAGAAGGCAATCCTGACAGCATCGAAGGGGTTCTTGGTAATAATTTCTTATGTATCCTGTGCTGTCCTTGCTCCGGCAGGGCTGAGGTGTTGAGATGATGACAGCTGGTCGCTACGCGCTGCTGAGTTGGCTTGGGGAAGGGGCTTCGCACAGTCCGCTTCTGCTTGTCTGCGCATACGGGCATCTGCATTGACTTTTCGGACCGCACTCACCTGAGCTTTGGTCAAAGGTGGTCCTGTAGCTTTAGGCTTGAGCTCGCACTTTGCATCGTCAGCGGCATGAGGGCCGTGGCAGTGAATGCATCTATGTGGACAGGTGTGCTCACCTGTGGCTGCGCAGTGGTTACCATGCTCGTTTTCAGTATGGGTTCCCGAGCCACATAGGCGGCACCGGAAGGAGGACGCACAAGTTCGGGTATTATGCCATAGCCAGCATCTATTGCACTGAGCAGCTGTGTAGCTCCGAGTGAGAGTTTTTGTGATTGTACGGCAACCAAATAGGAAGAGAACACGAGGAAGACGTTGGTGATTTTCTGGAAAGCGAACAATCCATGTTTTGGAGGAGGAGTCTAGGTTCTCCTCATTATCGCGCGACGCAAGGATGGCTACTGGAGCTGTTCCTGCGGCAGCTGAGAGTGCTTTGTACATAGCAGCGGCAGTGACTGGTTGAAGGCAGTATCTGAGTTCGTCGTTGATGGTTCCGAACGTATGTGGGATATTATTAATCCTATATGAAGTCCACGGTGACGCACTTTTGACTGCAACATTATCAAAAATACTCACCTTCGAGATTTCTTCCTTAAATTTAGAGGTTTCTCCATCTTTAGGGCAGAGGGCGAAGCCGGTCTTTGTAGACTGCACGTTAACTAGAACTCGCTCTTCGTTTCCTAGCTTAGCTTTCAGGTGAGACTGGATAGCGTACGCTGAGAGACCCCTGAGCCTATCTCCATCAGGTATGCGGACAAACAGACGATCGTCAGTGCGATGTTGTTGCGGTTGTGTTTTTGGGCTAGGACGTGCTGGCTCTCTACTACTGTGTATATTTTCGGTGTGGATGCCCTTGGGTCGGCGAGCCATCTTGGCGTATGTTAAAGACTCCGGCGCTTGCGGAGTTCGGCAAGGCTCAGGAGTTGGTTTAATTTTTGATACCTGTTTTCCGCTTATGTAGGCGTCAAAGTGACGGGTAGCAACCTTAGCTAGATCTTTGCAGAAGTTTTTGAGGGCCAAACGTTGATTAGCAGGAAGTGAGTTGTGACTTGGTGCGGCCCAATGATTGTCCAATTGGGAGGCGATACTACCAAATAATGATTCAGCTTCCTTCGCTCGGCTTTCTGCAGCAGCAACACTTCTTCCCGGTGCCTCTCTAAAGGAGCCAGATGGGTTGGGGCCGTCAAACGGGTCATCTATGGGTTCGTCTGGGGGCTCGTCATGTTCTAGAGTAATGCCATGCTCGTAAGGAGTTTGGCTGGGGCCAGGATTGTCGAGGTCTTGATTGGAATGGTTGGAGGGGTGCGTGGGATGGCGTTGAGCCTGTAGCTCCAACATTGGCAGACGCGCCGATTGTATGACGCGGTTTTCTTTTATGCGCGGTTTAGGAATGCTTGATGGATTCTGCTTAGGCTTTAGAATAGTGTGTGTAGAAGGGGAAATATTTGTGAGAGGGGGGATTTTAATTGGAGCCAGGGTTAGTTTAACAATAGAGGTATATAACTAGATTCAAAGTTGAAATGTTGAATAGAGAGCCTTGTTTTATTCATAATATCTAACGTCGTTCCCGCGTACAGCACGTGAGCTTTCATGTACCTGTCAGCCTAGTTTAATTTAAAGTAGCCGACGTGTTTGCGCCTACACAGATCCAACAAAGCAAATGAAAACCAGCATCTTGTCATCCTACGCTCGAAGATTATAGTATACCTGGAGGTCACCCGTCAAACTATAAAGCCTTACTGCTATAGATGAAATCGATGTACTGTTAGTCATGTGACCTTACTAGCTTAGTTTACATGGGAAGGTGATATACTTCCCCTTGATATTGTGTAAATGACCTGTGCACTCGCGTACTTTAGAGTCTAGATATGATTTGTGAACGTGGATGAGGCGAGCTTCAGGATATTCGGTTTAATGTCCTCCAATTAAATGAGCTCTTTGCCAAAAATTATTCGTCGTCTATAATCTAAAACACATGTTTACGTATAGATTGACAAGTAATTCGAATTTTGAGACACTCACGATCTAGATGCCCTAAATTATATCGCTATGATGTGTGTAAATTCATAAATATAGGCAAGCTCAATTCTTATTCATCTTATCTATAGTAGATTCAAAAATTCAGGGTTCCAAGTGTGCTTTTGTCATTTAGTTGGAAGTCATCACAATACACTGTGGGTCGTAATTGAATTGTAGCAGAGAACCTCTGTCTTTAGGGTCACGAGTGCCCAGGCTATCTAGCCTACCTGATATGGCTTAGGGCCTGTCTATTGCTACATTATTCGTAGTAGTCGGTTTGCAACGATAGGACAGCAAAGTTCGATAAATCTAGTTTATAATTAAGAGTCAATATTGGAAAAATTACTCCCGTGCTTCTAAGTCTAGCATCTACGCTTCAACTGCCAAGAAAGAGATTATTAACTATATCTCGCGGCGCTGTCGGATTAAGTTTAATGCAATGTTGGTAATCTGAACATTCCGAAGCCGAGCCACATAAAAGCAGCGTTCTTGATTGATTATGCGTGTCTTGCTGTGCTGGCCCGCATCTATACTAAATGGTGATGGCCTGGGCTAACATCAGCTATGAGCCCAATGTGTTTATAGTCATAAACTCAAGTCGCATGATAAACTGTTATCATATGAGGCAAAGAGGTAGTCGAGGCTTGGGCATCGCGTGTGGCTCAAGGCTATAGCATACATCACTAGTGTACTGGTTAGGCGAGCATGTAAATAGTTTCATTCACAACCCACAGTAAATAAACACAGGTTTAGTCTTTTACTTTCTGTCCATACACCTACAGCATAATATTATATGAGTCTATTCACAGTTAACCACTAATTATAACATCATCCACTCCTCATCACTCCGCAATGTGACTTCGGCATAGCTCATAACCACAACATAAACTCAAACAACATCGGCTGTTGAGGTAGAAAGTTCTCCGCAAAAACCAAAAATTTTCTGTACAAAGTGACACATCGATGAATGGTGTGCTAAAGCCGAACTAGACGGTGCATTTTTATCTTCTTAGCGCTCATGCCTGATAGTGAAGAAGTGGTGATTACTCCAGATCCAACGGTAATCCTTGATGATAAATCACAACTACTGCCTGTTTTCTTTGTTCTCACATCAATGGTTGAAGTCCTGAATTTGGGGAGGATTTTATATTTTCTTTAGCTTCGTCCATCGCTATCGAATAGTCTCCTGACTACCCATAATTTGTGGACGACCACGTAGACAAATACCGAGCAACGTGAGATTATATGGCGAAGCATGGCCATTCGACTAGCGTTGCACACGGAAAATGCTGAGAAGCGAGGTGAATCACTAAATCGGCAACGAGCCTAGATGACTGCATGACTTTAGAAAAAGGTAGTGTCGGCGAGAGTAAGTCTCACGGCTGAAGATAGGTAAGAGTGCCGTAAACCGCTGTAATCTATCCATACTGCGTTTACCACACGTACGAAACTGGTTCAATGCTTATAGTGGCAACGTTAGTGCCTGTGCCCGTTGCGTGGCAGGTCGGTTGGATTTATCACCCTGGGGTTCTTTCAACCTTTAATCACGCTAGGCCAGAGTTTGAGTGTTGTCCCATTTGATGGATGGATACTGTATCATATATTCTTATATTGAGTCCGTCCAGAGTCAGAAACAAAGTCGGCTGTGGATAACTTCATAGGGTGTTTAGAAAACGTTCCCTGCATAGGTAGGATTTGCTTTGAGCAGATTCATCATGGAGTACAGATATTGACAGAGATTAAACAAGAGATTGGCCTGGGACGGCTCAAGTGCTGATATAGAACATCTGTATCTGTGTTCGTGGCCGAATATTTCCCGAACGTTATGGCTCGTTAGCCTAGCCTGATGTGACGAGGCTGACACAATATGACGAGGCCACGAAATTGTGTGGCTCCGCTCCAATTTAGCGTCAACTGGTGCCTTGCAGCCTTGGAACAAAGATCTAGCGAGACACCCTAATCGCACATACACTTACTTTGAAAATTCGGCACCAAAGAGGTTAACAAATCCATCGACAGCGACAACATGGTAGGATATATCCACTCACACCATAATAACGGGCGAAGCGCGAAGAGATAGCTTGAGCATAAAACGAACTATGAACTTGAGAAAGTCTCTTCGTCCCTCGACGAGACGGGCGCCGATGTGCACTCGGCGCTGAGCTCTGCCACAGCGAAAGCCCATCAACTCTAGCTAACTGAGCGTTTCTATATAGGTTCGATACGCCGCCACCGAAATCTCCTCGGCCCGCTCCGCCAGAGCTCACGGAAACTACTTACGAGTCTCCTTCAAGAACACGCGAGAGACAGCTCAAGCCGTCAACGGCAGGTTCCTCGCGCCAATCTTGACGGCCAGGTCCGGCTAACGAGAGCATAGGCTGGAAGCTACAGCGCGCCGTGAAATTCCTCCAAAATGTGCAGGAGAAGGTTGAGGCCGTGCCAATGAGAAGATACGCCGGTGGCACTGGACGCGCCGCACAAGGTAACAAGTCCCATGCCCCGAGTCTCGACTATGGCTAATAATTCCGGTAATAGGCAAACAATTCGGCGTAACGCGTGCGCGATGGCCTGTCAAGTCAGCTGCCTTCATCCTCGGTCTCCTCAAGAACGCTGAGGCCAATGCCGACACCAAAGGCCTTGACACCGGCAACCTCATCATCAAGCACATCCAAGTTAACCAGGCCCCCAAACAACGACGACGAACGTACCGGGCTCACGGTCGTGTAAGTGCCTTGTCCCGAGTAGTCTTGATGATAAAACTGAAACAGATTAGATCAACCCGTACATGTCCAACCCATGTCACATTGAGCTTATTTTGACCGAGGGTGAGGAAGTCGTACAGAAGTCTGAGGCAGTAGTTGGACGTGAGGCCCATCTCAGCTCGAGGCAGCGAGGTGCCCGTACCCGTCGGGCCATTACTGCTGCGTAAAATTTTTTTGGGGGTTACAAGGGAGGGTAGAGGCTTTTGTATGAAATTTGAAGCGGTCACCATTGTCAATGAAAGACATTCACGTGAGGCGGAAGGAGTGGAATACGCAAGATAAGCTGGCTAATGTGACTACGGAATGCGACCTTCGGGTTAGTGATGATCCTTGACTCCCATCTTGTATTCGTACAGAATAAGCTAGCAGACCCATAGCAGAGACAGCTCATAATTAAGCCCAACGGGCCCTGATACCCCTCAGTTGTGCTCTGCAAAAAAACTCAGCAAAAGTTTTCATACTAGTAGTCCATACTTGTGAGACGAGAGCGGTGAAGTCTGCTTAGGCATATTCTCCGCCATCACCGGATCGCCGCGGCAGAACATGAGAAACTGAATCGACTCTCCAAGATACCAGTTGGCCCAGCCAAGTACGGCACCCTCTCTCGGCATCTGGAGCACGAACACTAGGATTTTCAAGAATGAAAGCCAGAGCTGACCTTCCCTCGGCTGCGCAGGGCTCGTCTCATCGTAAAAGAAAAGTTTGGGTGTGTCGACTAAATAGCACGTTGATGCATCCGCCCCCCAAACCGTCTGCTATGGACCATCTCGATCCGCGAAGGCTCATACAGATCTCCGCTGCACTCGTTAGAAAAGTTGTGGTGGGCCACATGTCAACCTAACGCATTGTGAGCGGTAGCCTAGCTCTGGTCGGGAGTTTTAATATATGAACAAGCCGCATTGCCGTGATGACTCAGGGTAGAGGCGGCCTCCCAGCTACCTTTGACGTCTGAGATTTCCTAGAGTAGATGAGCGAGGCTTTCCAAAGTCCCTCGAGACGTCAGATGGTGGCATGGGGTCACGGATTGGTCAAGATGGCGTTAATGAAGGATATAAATGACTTCAATTTGCGCACTGGGTTCAGGCGTCGGATGAAGTCTGACGTGGAGATGAGATTTCTGCTTCTATTTAGAGGTTCCCTGCCGCCACCGAAACCCAAAATATTCCATCCGCCCGAGATGCTACCCTCGTCCTGGCCTAGCCGATACCCTCCCTTGACCAAGATAGCGTGACCATAACGGTGCCTCTGAAGCGGGAGGCAAGAGAAACCTTTGAACGTGAAATCAGCAAAACAAGTCTTTTGCCGTCTTTCGACGTTGGCCTCGACCGTCCAAAATCTGGGCAAAGAGCTCTTTGCCCGAGTTCGTGCCCAGCGCGTCCGGAAATAGCTCTTTGACTCGCACACCCGAAGCTGCACCCTTGATGGCGAATTCGAAACTCGGATTCCCCGCAACAGTACCTGACCGTTGCATTTTTGTCCGCGACATTTCTCCGTCGAGCTTTCTCGAGACACTAGAGGCCAGGCCGGCGTCGGTTTGGGAGTCGACAATCTCATTGAGCGAAGCGACGGCCATGTCCCTCGATTGAAAGCCGATGCTTTCATCCGTCTCGTCAAAAGCGCCTGATCGCTGTGGGAAGCATTTCTGGGGAAACAACTCTCTTGCAGCGGGACTCCTGGTACCCTTGTCATCTCTTCCGCGTCGTACCAGCAGACTGCTCGAACTCTCAGCGATCTGAGAGGGGCCAACGTCGCGCACTGGGGACGCACTACGCTGCCGCAATCTCCGGTAGTCGGAACCTGACCGGTCTGGAAAGAGCTCTTTGCTGGATTTTCCGCCCGGATTCCGAGGGTGCGTCTCGGAGCTCGAGAGCGAGTGGTCACGGCGTCGTCGATTCGATCTTTGGCGGCGATCGACTGAATGTCGGTCACTGTGCCGGTTTCTATCCCTTACGTCGTCTCGCTTGCGCCGCTCAGCCGGATCATATTCTGGATGCAGCAGGTAGAATCGACTGCGTTCGCGAGCGCCGGATTGCTTCCTGTCGCCAAAGACTGCTAGGCGTGCGTGGAGGATGGAGGGTGGGGAGTGATGACATGGTTTGGTGGGAATGGTTTGGAGCGTTGCAAGCTTTTCAATGTCGCTAAGGCTTAGACTGGTAAAGGATCCGAGAGCCTCGAGGCCAACACTGGCGGATGGGTAGACTAGATTGGCTGAAGTATCGTCAATCCATTCAATCTGCGAGGGCTGATATTGAGGAAAGTGCTCATGGGCAAATGTTTCGATGTCGGCCGTGCTGAGATTTTCGAGACCGCGGAGGTGAACTTTGTGCGGCAGGGGCTGCATGAATTTGGGGTCGGATGTGTCATTGGGATGGCTGAGGATGGGTTCTGCCGCGGTAGAATTAGACTATTCCGCTCGGTTACTAGATGGGCGAAAGGGGGTGGGGGTCGGAACTTACGGTGTCAGGTGGATTGGCGGCCAGGGCGAGTTCTGAAAAGACGACATGTTCACTACAGTCGAGGTCGAGGTCCATATCAATGTCGAGATGGTCATCCATGATGAGAGTAGGGTTTGGCCGGCGAGTAACAGAGTAAAGGCTTGACGGTACAGTTGCGAAGGCGCTGCCGGGGATTTGGAAGGTTGGTGGTGCGGCTGAGGGTCGGGCAGTACGGAAAGAATGGCGTGGATTACGACGTGGCAGAGCCTTTGCGCAATGGGCACTCGCCAGCTGAGTCAGCAGCGCTAGTCCGTATTTGGAGGTTCGGACTCGTAGGCTGACGGGTAGGACGGCACTGCAGATTCTACTGGGCCTCGATTTCCGCGGATGGCGGCGACGAGGGAAAGTGACCTGGAGCCTTAGAGGCAGGGACTAAGCACGACGGTGGTATGAGAGGTGGAAATTGAGACGGGCAAGGTGGCAATGGGGACGAGCGTGGGCGGAGCGTATGCATCGACGACAGGGCCCGGCCACTTGGCGGGTACAAAGGGTAGATCACAGGGAACGGGCGGAAAGAAGCTTCATTATAAGTGGAATTACTGATGTATATTTTCCCCCGGCACCGTCGATCGACGTCAAGCCCATCATCTGGGGCGTCGGGGCCCTCTCTAAAGTTTTAGAGCGTCGTGGCCATTCTCTTGTGACGTTTCTGCTAGTGCTAGACGCGCACACACATGTACATCCCACCTACGTAATCCCCCAGAGCCCCCGAGAGAGGCACCTTGCCCAAATTACCAGCGGGGGCTGACAGGCCCGTGCCGGCTCGTGACAAACGTAAGAACATGATTCATTATTAACTCATCCTATGCGGAGCGTGCAGGGCTGGATGCTCAGCCTAAATTTTGACCTCCGTAACGCCGACGCCAGCTCCCATTTATACCCAAGGTGAAATCAAACAAGTGTGACGGGCTCACTAGGCCAGAAGAGTGGAGAGGTGCATGCGGGAATCGCGTTGCATGGCCTGACTCGCACGTTCATTTTGGGCCATGAGGCGCAGGGGAGGAAGTTGAACTGATGGGTCGGCCGAGCTGCGTAGACGTGACTTGGGCGAGAGTAGGGAGAGCGGGATGATTTGGCCGGGGTAGGATTCGGACGTATGGGTTGGGAAACGCGTCGAAGAGGTGTTTTGGGGCGTAGTAGGGCTCTCTTGGACGAGGCGAGCCGGATCGGGACCGCGGCCGTTGGGCTGTAGAGCGATGCGGGGCAGGCTCGACGAGTGGGAGACGTGCGGTTGGTACTGCAAACGAGGAAGCTCCAGGGCAGGCGAGGTGCCGGATCGCGGAGAAAAAGAAAAGGCCGAGCTGGAGTCAGAGATGAGTGAGGGAGGCGCGTCGACGGATTCGGTGCGCGAAGCCTCGGAGACGGTGGGTGAGGCCATGGCGGCCTCGAGAGATCGTGATGACGATAACGATGGCTGCGGCTGCGAGGGTGGTGGCGGCAGAAAAGGATTTGGGGTAGTAGAGAGGGGATTGAGGTGGTCTTCGTCGTAATGATGGTGGGCGTGTTCGTCGTGCTGAGGGATTGGGGTTTTGCGGCGGAGGACGAGACGACGACGGCGGTTCATGCTGCCATTCCACCAGTTTTTAACGGCATTATCGCTGCGCCCATGCAGTCGACGGGCAATCTCGGCCCAACGCTTGCCCATTTCGGTGACCATGCGTTCTATTTGGAGGCCCTCTTCGGGGCTGATGGGTTCGTGGTTGAGGGTCGGCTTGAGGTTCTGGTGATATCGTTCGCGACATTGCTTGGGGGAGCGGGAGCCAATGAGCTGAGCAATGCGGACCCAGTTCAAGGCGCCTTGGGTGTGGACTAGCTGGCACAGGTAGGCATCTTCGCCCTGAGACCAAGGACCTCGTCGATGAGAGGAAGCCATAGCATGTAGAAGGCAGAGTGGCCGGGAGAGGCGCAAGGCCAGGAACGAGAGGCTAGGAACGACAGGACGGGAGGTGAATGGACAAAGGAGCGTGGTAGTAGCGGTGGCGGCGGCGAGAAACGGGATGGCGAGGTCTGGGGACGAAGGAAATGAGGACGAGGAGACGTCGAGCAGCCGGACTTGGAGCGAGTGAGTGGGCGAGAGAGTGGAGGAGGTGGCGGCGGCGGAGGAGAAGAGAGAAGAGAAAGGCGGATGAGACAAAGAGGACGGGAGGTGAGGTGAAGAAGCAGAGACGAACGAGTGAGTGAGCGAGCAGGAGAACGAATGAGTGGTGAGCGAGTGTTGACGGCTACAAGTAATGAGCGCGGGCAGCCAGGCAGCGGTAGCCTCGTGATGGGGACAGGGCAGGCGACGGGGCAAGGAAGACGAGTATATAGACGGAGCGTGACGATGCGCGTCAGGAGGCGTGACCAGGAGCCATGAGCGACGAGCAACGAGCAGCGCAGATGTAACCAGCGGGACAGCGTGTGATTCCCTAACTCAGGCCCGCTGCGGCCGCAGGTCAGGGGCTGGAGGCACGGGAACTGCAGGCGGTGCGATGGGCGGTGCGGCCACGCCGTCGCACGCCGCACCGCGCCCCTGCTGGCTGGCCGGCCGGACGACGACAGAGTCGGCGGGGCCGCCGGTCTGGCCACATGGCGCGCGATCCGTGCAGTATGAGAGCGTGCCTCGACCGTCGGCAGGGCCGGTGCTGGTGTTGCTGCTACTTCTACTCCAGCTCATGTTCCTGCGCTCGACTGTTGGCGCGGCCGGCCGAGACGACGGCAGAGAACGGGTCCGACGCTGAGCTGGGACGAGGCGGCGGCGGCGCGATGATCGCCGGCAGGGAAGCCTCTGACGCGACCTCACTCCCGTGCGCGTTGGAGGGGGTGACGGATATCTTCAGGGCGCGCGGGCCTCGACGTTTCAGGGGAACCGCGGACGCGCGCCCTCGCCCTGGCACTGAGGGATGGTCCTCGCTGCTCGTGGCCGCCATTCCCGCCGGCCCTCACGGCTGGGCGCAGTGAGAGGGCGCGCTCGCGCTCTCTCCAGCTCGCTGACGCGTCTTCGCCGTGCGCAAAGTGTATTTTCGTCGTCTTCGCCCCGCCGCCGCCGCCGGGACCGAGGCTATTTTGGGACGCGGCTTGCACCCTGCACCCGCCCCCACACCCCCACACCCCATCTCATCCCGGCCCCTGTGCCTCTTTACTGCATTCGGAGCGTTGAGGCGGCCGCACTGGCCAGGGCCCCAGACGGTGTGGCCTTCTCGTCGGACCTTGGCCAAGTCGGCACCCCGCTCCTCGCACGTGAGCCCGGCGTGGCGGCCGACGACGAGAGCCAACGAACGTCGCGACCACTCGCTCGGATGCGGGCGCCTGCAGCTCTGGGCCGTCTTCGCGCTCCCGCGACGCGTGTCCCGGCTCCGTCGACGGCCGCCGGCAGTGTAGGCACAGAAGTCGTTGACCCAACCAGCTGGGCCCTCCTCCGCCGTCGCATGTCACCCGTCGGCCGTCAGCCGCGTCCGTCGAAAACCTAATGGCGGGAAAGCCACCTGTTGCCGCCCGCTCCCCGTTTCACCCGCTCTTCCTCGCCGTCCGACCACCACCCAAGGCCGGCCGACTGAGGCGTGCGCCGGCCGACTGCAAGGCATCGCTGCCCTACCGCTGCGTGACAGGAAACGGCGCTTGGCCCAGACATCTGGGTGCGGCGCACGGCGGCGATCAACGACCTCCTGCATGCCCAATACTACGAGTCCTCAGCCTCGTCGAGCCTGGCCACCTGGACTCTGCCGCCGTGGTCTACGGCTCGCACGTGCTGGTCACGTGTGGCAATCATCTGACATGTGGGCGCCGCTGCAGCTTGACGGTGTGGCCCCTCGCCATCTGCACCTCACCCTCAACCAACGCCCCAGCTCGCGCGCCAGGAACAGGCCCGGAGCGAATCTCAGGAGTCGTAATCACCTCCATCTCCAACCCTGACGCGCATGCAATCGAGCCCACTCAACTGCTGTCTTGCCTTCTGCCAGCTAGACCGTTAATCCGTCCACGTCGTTGGAGATCTTCTCTCTTGCCAACGACTCTATCAAGGGGTAATGCCATCTGAACCACGACACCTGAGCATTTCCTCCGCCCTGCCCATCCGAAGAATCGGCCTCTCATTCCCAGCTGGCGCTGCACGACCGTCGCAGATCGATCATCACCATAGAGAAAATGTAAGTGCCGACTCTACCTTCCCCATCTCCCATAGAGATGCCGACATCCATGTCTAATGATGGTCTCAGTCAACTCCCCCGCCGCTCCTACTGCGAAGAGAATGCAAAGACCTGTACCCACTACCACTTGAAACCCTTCACCGCTCGCCCGAGCGCGAGAGCCCAGGGATAGCTTGAACGGCATCAATCCCTCCCATCTGACACCTACTGCCTGTCTGTCACTCATGACCTGTCCATGTCCCGAGATCTCGTACGTCACGACCATGAGGCCAGATCTCCGGCCTCGTCGACTGTCGGAAATTGAGTCTAGAGACGCCCCCCTAATCATGCTCGCCGAACCTGTCATCAGCTCACATCTCGAAGCTACGAAAACATCAGTCCCAGCAAGTCGAGCCGACACAGGAGCAACATGGAGTAAATGGGCAAGTGGAAATCTGTGAAACCCGATCCATCTTCTCTCCCCCCACACATCCCGACTGGCCAGCTGTGGAGCTTTCGCCGTCGACCTCCAAACACCCTTCCCCACTGTCTCTGCATTTCGTTCCATGCGGGAGATGACAGGTGTCCCAACCACATCCTCTCATTTGCTGAATTCTCTCGCTGATCCAACCCACTTCTCCACCCCCATGCGTCTAAGCATCGCCTACCCGGAATCTCATGTCAGCCAAATATCACTCTGGCCATTCTCTCTGCCTGATATCCTCAGGCCTCTCATGTCGCTTGCGCAATCATTTCCACCATGGACCCATGACCCACCATGAATCCAAACTTTGCCTCGTACGCTGCAACGGCTTGTGCCAGACCTACAGACCCTCCATTTCGTCCAAAGCTCTCCCTGTATCTAATGAGAGACCCTTTTGTCCTTCATCAATCCATGGTCTGCCGCCTCCCCAGTCTCCTGAACACCGACCTGGCGCTGTGACTGGGCCTCCTGACAATATGCAGGCCCTCTCAGCGTCTGCCCTTCATCCGCCTTTCGAGACACACCCTTGCCCAGCAGACGCCAAATCAACCTCCTCCATACCGTCTAAATAGATGCTCGTTCTACCAATGCTCAAAGGAACCGCATGATCCGTGCCCTAACCCGGCTACCTTCCGACATTTATCAGCCTAGAGATCAGTCCTGCCTGGCCAGGGGCGAGAACAAGACTCGGTATTAGACCAAGCGCTCTTTTTACCCATACACCACTTCCCCACCAGAACCCATAGAAGCCCCGGAACCCCCATTCAGCCGTTCCTCGTCTTGGACCGCCGATACGATATAGTGGCAGCAAAAGGACTGCACAAACCACGTCAAAACTCCGTCTCAAGTCATCCTGGTTGCTCATCCCAGTCGACGCTCAGGTCGAAGCCAAGTCTATCTCCCAGGGCTCAGGCACTGTGTCCGAACCAGACGAGCGTTGCATCCAAATTTTCGATGCTCAAAGGGCCCTACCATGATGACGTGAAAGATCATTCGATCCCACTCTGTGGAAAGGGAGTTTATTTGACAGTCGCCAGCCCCAGTAGCATCTTCCATGCTATGATTATCTAGCCTGGGCCTCAGGCTCCCAATCTAGACTGTAGAGACACTACTTTTGTCACGCATGGTGGGACATGTCCTCTGTTGTGATCTTGACGCGTGCCACAAAATATCAGTGGGTGGATGGGAGGGAGCAAAGGCATGAGAGGTGTAGTCCAGCTCTACCATCTTACACCTGCGCCGTTGTACCAGCAACCAGCTAAAATGAAACCCCTCTGCAAGACATGATGCACAGTTTCTCTACCCAGCCAGCCAACGGTATAGACGGCTAGAGCCAAAGCCATGGATGGAAAAAGCGGACGAAGAAGCATACGTTTTCAATCGGCGCATCGGAGATCCGCGCACTTCCGAATATGCCCCCTTCACTAAGTCGCTCAAACAACTAGGTCTTCCATGTCATCCCTACTCACTCATTTCATGTTCCATACTTGGATCAGGCCCAAGGCATAGCTTCGCTGCGTCTCTTCAGAGCTGTTAATGCCACTCCGACCAACCATTCATGCCGATAGCGACGACCTTGCCATTACCCAGGCACTCCATATGTCAATCAAGCCACACATCCCATGCATAACGACAGTCATTGACCCATCCTACTAGAGATCAGATAACCATCTCAAAAGCTACCTTTACGAGTGGAGCCTTGTGTAGGCGGCTATCTATCGCCAGCCTTTGACGCTATCATTTCTTCACGTAGTTTACGCATCCAACATACCTCGGACTGACATCCTTGTCAATGTTTGGACGTGTCCTGCTCACTAGAGACGCCGGTTCTGTACCCAAGTATGCGCATGGCTCTAAATTTATGACGACGGCTGATCTCTCTTCGGCCATTGCAAATACGCCCGAAACCTCCATAAACCATCTATACGAGCGCCAGTAGACGATCTTTCCTCGTACGTTTGATAATCACGTTTGAACTCGTCGCCAAGCACCCTTTCCTCCGCTCAACCATTGTCTCATTCACTTGCCGAGGTCCGCACAACCACCATTCTATCCGGGACGCTGGGGGTTCACCGCGACTATGGGCACCATAGCTAGCCGTTTTTAGCAGCGGACTCAGACATATCTACGTATACTCCTAAAAATAAACCGTAGCTACTCCTTGCACTTCCTAGGAGTCATAGAGCGCGCGTACGAGCGATCAAGCGTAGCTCAAACCCCGACGACTGCTGGTAGATTCTGCTATTCTCCTGTCCTGAATTGGAAGTAATCATGAGCCATATGGAG